TTGTCTCATACAATTTTTGGAAAATTTTAATCATTCGAAGTGCCCCGTAATCTTCCGGTACTTTTTTAAAAATATTGTTGTGTAAAAAAAAAAAAAAAAGCAGAAAAAGGAAAGAAAGAAAAACGTTTCTTATTACTTTCGTATTTTATATAGCAAACGTTCTTCTATATTGGAAATGGCAAGTGTAAATATTATATATTGTCTCATAATAAAAATCTTGCAATATTAATTTTTTCATTGATTTCTGTATAAAATCAATACGATTGATAACGTTCGAGAATATCCTGTAATATCTTATAATGAGACTCTCGGTATATACTTAACTATTTGTTCTTGAATATCTACTTTCTCGAAGAACTATAATTACTAATTTTTTTTTTAAGTTTTTTTTACATTCCTATATGAAAGAGAAATGATTCAATTTGAAATGGATCGATTGGAAGGACGCATTATTAATAAAATTGAAGGACAAATCTGACGTATACTACCTTTCTTTTATAGACGTCATCTCATTTATTTCGTTATTAACATTCTTTCCGATGTTCCTTCATTTGATTATGCGATCAAATAAAAATCATTTTTTTTTCGATCGTTCAAAGAACTCATCACAGGAAGTAGATATTTTTTTTACCAATAATTTCAACTCACATATATATATATATATATAATTATGTTAATAATTATGACAGTGAATTAACATAAGCCCAAAATTAAAAAAGAAAATTTATTTTATTTATTACAATGATTTATATTCTCTAAAAAATAATAATATAATATATATATTATAAAATAAAGAAGTCATTAAATAAATATTTGTTATATAATTTATATAATTTACAATCACGTTGTCTATTATTAAAAGGAACATACGAACGTGAGCCACCAAATGTAATTTATGTCTGCGAATTTAGAGAAAAAAAGAAAAAAGTAATGTCTAATAAAAATAATTTAAGCGAGGAAAGATGAAAAAAAAGAAATTGTTTATAATCCCATCAACGTTTCAGAACTTCGAGAACTGTTCGTGCCACATTCTAGAAATTTGTTGTGTGTTGAACACGTGTATTTTACGACACCGCTGTGTGCTTGTGTACACGTTGATTTCGTTTACTTGCTTGAACAGTTTGGACTCGAAGACTGTTGTCTCACCATAAGCTAGTATAGGGCGGGAAAATTTCGAAGATTATATAATAACGTAAAGTATCATTGTGTAACATCGTCGTCGGGAATCAAGCGTATATTTACCGTTCACGTAATTTATATATTTTCTTACTTTTATTTTTTTGTTTTGTTTTTTTTTTTTTTCTTTTATATTACAAACAAATGGGATTTGTCGAAAATTTAACACAATAATAATAATAATTCGATGTTGAATTTTTATAATACAACGAACAATAAACATTTTCAACGAGTATATATTATTGTAATTTTTAATATATTAAACGTAGCAATATTTAATTCGGTGCATTTGTATTAAAATTCATTGTATCAAAATCATTTGGGTTTTTGTTTCATCATCGAGAAATTCAACAATTGGTTAGAAACTATTTCGATGAATATAATTAAAATGAATATTAAATTTGTTTAAAACTTTCATCCGCACACACTAAAAATTCATTGCTACGCCTAATATTTCCATTGTTTTTGTTATCCGAAAAAAAAAAACAAAATAAAAAGGGGAGAAAAAAAAACAAGAAAACATTTATTTTACATTTATTACAATATATTCGCCAATTTTATATTTAACCTTCTTATTAACTTTCTTATTCGCTTTGACGACTTTATGATAAAAAATGAAAAAGGGGAAAAAAAAAAAAAGAAAAATAAATAAATAATGAAAGAAAGAAAAGAAAAAAAGAAAAAGGAAGAAAAATTCTTGAAGCTGTTGAATATGCGAAGCTCTTGAAATTCTCTTTTGCGAGCAATCGAGCTTGAAACGTCAAAGAAGTTGAGCTTATCCGAAAGTCAAGATGCCGCAAACATTCTGAAATCTCCTTTAGAAATTTTCCTTTAAATATTATCATCAATTATGCGCGCCGGAACTTCTTCGAATCTTCGAATCCTTCCCAAGTAGTTCAGTCAATTTTTATAAATATTTTCTATCACGATTATTTTTTTATGACTCGTGATGATATCGTGGACAAAATTTTTATTAAAAATCGTGAAGTCACTCTCTCTCTCTTTCTTTATCCGATTTAAATAATAGAATTTTATTCGAATAGGTTACTACTGATAATAAATAAATTCTATTTTGTTTAATTAATTTTCGAAATATTTGATTGTCCGCGAGAAAGAAAGAAATCAATCACGTTTATTAATATCCTCCATTTTATTTCATGAAATGTTCTGGTAATTATGATAGTAGACTAATTGTAAGAACAAAAAATCAAAAAGAAAATTATTTTATTATTTTTTTATATATAAACAATAATCATAAAATCAATATTTCCTACTTTTTTAAATTTATTCCGCTGTTATATTTACCGACACACATATATTCTCTCAAAATAAACAAATTGGTTGATAAATTATTAACATACAAATTTCTATATACATATATAAATCAATAAACTGCAATCTAATGTTGGACCAATGGTTAAATTTTAAATATTCCCTGAAATGATAGCTGCTACTTTACATTACAACGAGGAAAATGATTATATTAATAGATTTTGTTATAAAAAAAAGTCTTTGTAGAATATTTGAAAAAGTTTGTATGTGAGAGAGAATATTACAATAATATTTAAATTAAATATTAAACACTCACTTTTTAATGTAATTTAACAAATAGTTGAAGTTGAAAACTTGTACATTATTCAGCCTCGTTAAGTGATTCCAATTAACAAAATTTTTCACAAATTTAAACCACGATACCATTACAACAACAAAAGTATGTTAAGTCTCGTTGATATAATTATTATAATTATATATATAGTTTATCAAAGGAATGAGTTATGACCATGTAGGATAAGAAAAATCGAAATTAAAACGTTCATCATATTTTTCTATCAATTTTTTAATTATCGCATCTTTTTCGTTTACTTAACGGTGCATAAAGTGCACAGCCCATGGGTATTGGCAAGTTTATACTTTGATAATATAATTCGAACAGAAAGACATAAAAAAAATAGAAAAGAAATTCTTAAATTCTTTTCAAAAGTACATACAACACGGACGTAGTTATTATTATTATTATTAATATTAATTAGAACGCGCTTTTATAAATAATTCGTTCTTTTCGTTAATAATAATGAAACTAAAAAATTAAAATGATATGTACAAAGTTTTCTGATAGTAAGTATCACATGCGCACACAAACATACACACATACGCACAATTGTTGTGTTTTTTTTGTCTCGTTTTTACGCTGTACAACAAATGAATAATACATATTGATTTAAATATCTGGCTATACAGGTGGCCCTAGTAAAAAAAAAAAATTACATCGAAATATTATTCGACGATTTGTAATACAAAAAAAAAAAGGAAAAAAAGGGTATCATTTATTAAATAATTATTAATTAGGTCCCTTAGCACACAATAGTTATTGACGTTTAAACATGTATTATCTTATTAATCATAAATGTCAACTTTTTGTTTAATTACGCCATTAATTTTGTTCCAATGTCTCCTTTTTTAACTCTTATAATATATTGTTTACGATTAACAATTATCTCGAAGAAAAAAGCGTAGAAATTCGTTTGAAAATTTAAATTAGGATATGGAAATATCGTTAGAATTAAGTTTTCTATTACATTATATATATATATATATATATATATATATATATATATATCAGAATATAGAACAACCATCGTATTATAATAATACGCATATTATATGAACCGACTTGTATCATCGATCTTATTATTTTTTATTTAATTATCGAATATTTATAAAACGACAAATCGTTTTATAGAAAAATAGAGTAAACTTACTCGCAAAGAGGAAAGATATTTTTTTTTTTATCCACAGTCTCATTTCGCTCTTAATTCTCTCTCTCTCTCTCTCTCTCCTTTTTTTTCTCTCTCTCGTAACACGCGTTTTTTTCGTTTATATAATAAGAGAAAAAAAAAAGAAATAAATACAATTATCGCTTAAATGAAAGTGAAATATCTATTACCTATCTCAAACAAGATACATATACATATATATTTTTTAAATAATCGATCGATTTTTTGTACAACCAAATGCAGACTAATATCTACGCTACGCTATATGTGCCACGATTGTTTAATAGACAAAATAATTATCAAAATATATAGAAATAAAAAGAGAAAAAGAAAAAAGAAAGAACATTTTCTTATTATATAAAATATAGTGAAAGTACTAGTATACAAGATGATAGGACAAATCTTAAGTACAATTCGTTTACGATGTAAAAGCATTTTTGTCGAACATTTTATATATCCTTGTGTTTAAGTCTGTATTGTGTACACATATATAAATATATATGCATATTGTGTATGTATGTATATTCATATATATATATATATATTATAGAATAACAAAACAGTATACTTTCATAACATACGATATATGCGTATAAAAAGATACAATATCAATAAAAAAAGAGAAAAGGAAAATAAACATACGGATAGATTGAAAAATTCGTACAACGGGGAGGCACAACAGCAGCAAGTCATACGCAAATAAATGAAAAGAAAAATAAAAAAAAAGGAAAACAACGAACGAAATGTGCCAGCAGTTTAGGCTTTAAGTACATACACTGATGAAACTCTACATACATAAACTTTCATACAAACACGAGATCACAGTCCCAAAAGATACGTTAGAGTCTACCTGAGACTTATACTTGAACGTTCTGAACGTAAATCCTCTTGGGAGTATACCCTAGAGGAGCAAACACGATGGGGCCAAATACTCCTTGAGGTATATCGAAACCTCTTTTGCTCTGTTATCTTCCCCCCCCACCC